CCCCCCGAACACAGTCACATGGCCTTCGAAGTGTGTATGCTAAACATTACTGACGTCATATTAACCATAATATAGTTTTTCTGTACTGGTCTGCATCAGGTGCACCTGGAAATTGCATTTGTACGATTGAAAGCGACTCCCGCATTGAGAAGGAGACTGTTTTCTAGTAAAAAGGGCCTCTGATGACGTCACTCTTGGCTTTCCTCCCGAATCAAGTTTCCAGTTCGTGCTCGAACTAGTTTTGAATGTTCAGACAAATGAGTTGCACTATTGAGAAGACACAATCTAAGGCTTTTATATCTCACCGAGACCGACACCCAAGTGTACAGCCTTCTCTCAGTAAATGCCCATTTATACCTCCGTAGTCGCCAGAAGTACGGACCAGGTCTCCGTTTCTACCAATGATTCAACATTTAGCTGGGTTTTCCTGCACAACAAACTATATCTCGGGAGCGGACAAGCTTGGACAGGAATGCCAGGTTTATTCTCTACCAGCTATGACTGAAAATAGCAATTTTATCTGCTTTCCGTTGAAGCGCCGAACTTAAAACGCAATCGTTCTCACTTGGAACGATCAGCCAGAGGCGGGCATTGTGACGTCACCAGCTCAAATACGTTCTAGGCGGTTTATACCACCTATACCAGCCAGAAATGGACGGAAAGTCAACTCTTGCGCAAGAGCATCCCTGTACCTATCCTTTCCATGGCAAGACTTGTTCATTGAGCTTGAAGTAATAACAAAAACCGCTTCGAGAGGATGCGATCATTGTGACGTCAGATTCATTATGTGCACTGAATGGTAAACATGGCGGGAGGCGCAAAATCAGCCTTCGGGGGCGGTAACTTTCAACCACCTGTTACTCAAGAAGGAAATACCGCCCACAACCCAAACTTGGCATAATGCATAGAGCAAAACTTCTTCTACCCAAAGACAATATTAATTAAGATTTTGATTAATTAACGGTGCACACACCGCTAGAGTTGAGGGTATGCAGAATCGAATTGAGACCCAAAATAAACTGGGGTGTGCCCCCTTAGAAGAAAAAAAGAAATTTTGTTGCCTTTTGACAGTGGTCAATATGCCAAAAATGGGCAAAGATGTCTGTTGCCATGCCGGAAGGTGGATGGCAGATATTAAACTATGAAGAGACGAGACAAGGAAATGCTCTGATTTAATGTTTTGTTTCTTACTTTGATGCAGTGATATGTGATGTTGGCTGTGTATATGTGATGTTCCCACTGAATCAAAACCATTTGTACAATGATTGAGTCAACATTTGAAATTGTAGGAACCTTGTTTTTTATCATCATATACATCTAGAGGGAGAGAGAGAGAGAGAGTATAATCATAACTTTTACTTAGAGTGAGAAGATGTTTTGCAACACATCTTATTTAGTATTCTGTTTATTACAAGGTTAATGGTGAAGTGTCACAGGGATGTTTAGTAAAAAAAAGAAGAACAATCTGAAGATCAGCACCAAGGACATGGTCAATCATATGGCACGTCATCTTCCACTGTTTTTAAATGAACGATTGTTTCATTCACTGCTATTCCTTTCTCTACAACTTTTCTCTTTAGGCCACACCAATTTAATTTATTGCTTCTTGGATTGCCCTGTCCATTTTTTTCTGATTTGCAAAACAAGTATTATTTTTTTTTTTAAATTAACTGCAATATGCTCAATGAAAGATATATTTTGGCCCCAACGGTTGAAAAAAGTCCTTTTCTTCCTATGTAACAATGCAAGTTTGTTTCAACTAAAAATCTATTGTAATTATAAACCAGCCTGGTATGTTCACTTCATGGCTCATATTGTAACATTTCTGGCTATCATGGGGTGCCTTGGCCTGTTTCTTTTTTTTTGCCATGTCGCTCCTGATTTTTTCTGAAAAAATCTAAGAAACAAAAAATTAAATTGGTATGGCCTTATCAACTCTGACACTTCCCCCTATTTTGTTCTGAAATAGGCTGCAATAGTTTCCATTCCAATGCCTCTTCTAGTTACTCATACTGCTAAATACCATTGAGTATTTTACTGGTAGATACAAATATTCTTACTTGTCTTAAGAAATATGTTAGGAGACCAATTTTTGTTCAGAACTTTCTAATGTCAACACTTAAATTGAGTAATTGGTGGTTATGTAAGATGATCATAAAAAGATATTGTTATAATTTAGACACTGGTGTATATCGCATGCTTAATTATCTACTGTATAGAGGAAAATATGTCAGCATCATATACTAGTATGTCACTGGAAAACATTATTTTGAATTGCATACATTTTTTATATTTTCATACCAACTCTTGAAGGCAATGCAACCAGGTTTGAGACATGACAGCAATAGATGTACCATAATTCTGTAGTGAAGCATTCAAGAACAGGCCACCACATCAAAACTATCCATACAAAACTGTCAAATGTGAAGAAGCCATGTCATAAGCCACACTTTCATAATTTACTCTTCCAGTCTTGATGGATAAAATAAAGGGATATCAAATGAAGTGTTAATGTAACATGTTGTAACTTGGTGAATAAAATGAGAGTGAAAAAATCACATGTTTGTGTCATTTGTGTTTTTTGGCAAAGTCTATGAAAACCATGCCTTGTAAGTTAGGCTAGTCAGGTATTGTACTGCGCTTATAACCGATAGAAAAAATAAGACTGGAGCACTTTAGTATTACTTTTTGGCAGAAAACCTGGTGTGAGCAGCTTAAGTTAGGAGAAAAAATGTAAAAATATAATTTAGTACAGTATATCTATATTTTAATCAACGAATTCAAAGAATAATCGACATATGCAAAAATATAATTTAGTACAGTATATCTATATTTTAATCAACGAATTCAAAGAATAATCGACATATGCATTCTCTTTCTACCACAGCAATTCATATGAATTACTGACGCGCGGAAGAGAAATAAATATTCCTGTCATCACATATATTACAGACAGATGCCCTAATGAGAGACAGGATACTAGTAGTAAGATAAACGTAAGATTTATTCATTGTGACGCCCTATTTCTAGATCTTTATTTCCTCTCCCAGCCCTCTCTCTCCCAGTCGGGAAGTTTGCCAATTAGGTATGGTGGATAATTATCCGTTTGGTTTAACAGTCGGTCACTTAGAATTTTGTCGAATTTCAGGTATTCTTTCACTAACTGTTAGAGACTGCACTCAACTTGTAACTAGTGTTCAACAGTTGTGCAGTGTAGGGTACGTGAAGTACACGTAGTGTAGTGTCATGCAGTGCAGGGTAGGGTAGTGTAGTGTAGTGTAGATGTAGTGTAGTGCAACCTGTAGGTCAGAATTCTCGCCAGACTTTATGATAGCTGGACGTCAGCCAACTATGCCAGTGCATGTTAACAGCCTGACCGACAATGACAAATATAAAACTGAAACCAATTTCGTCATCGAGAGAGAGTAGGGGGAAAATTATTATCTCGTGTAACACAGAGCTGCGGAGCGCCGTGCCCGGCCCGGATACCGGCGCAGGACAACCTTTGTTGCGGTACGAACCATCTGTGTGGGCCGCCTGTAATCTATAGCCCCGGCCGAACAATGCCTTCGCGTGCGACAGAGAGAAAACACGAGGGGATCTAGCCACAGGGCAGACTTTTCCAACTCATTCAGGGTAATAGCTGGTGGGAGGAG